GGGGGTTGGAACCAGATGATCTTCAAGGTCCCTTCCAACCCAAACCATTCTATGATTCTATGGTTCTATGAATGTCCACCCACTGCAACCCCTGTAAAAAGGGTGAAGACGGAATGGACACAAAAGCAGATGACAATCATTGTGCCTGGGCTGCAGTGAGATGGGAGCAACCACAGTTACAAAGCAGCCAAAGCTGCCTCTTTAACCTGGAGAAAGGATCCAGGAAGCCAGCAGGTCCTTCACTCCTGGCGTTGGCTGGTTGTAGTGAAAAGGGAAGTTGGGCCAGCAGGGGTAAATCGAGCACTGAAGGCATCCAGTGCTCTTTGGCACTCTCGTGATCCATCTGGGTGAAGGGGAATGGGAACTTCTGGCTGGGTTAAGTGGGAGCTTCCCAGCGTGGCATGGTAGGCTGGCCAGCTTTTTGGGTCAGGATGGTGACGTTCCTCGAGGGACGCCTGTAAGCCTTGAGTCCTGAATGCTCTTCTTCTCCCAAGTATGCTCTTGAGTGGACTTGAATCAACTACTTGCCTGCATGTGGTTGCAGTGAAGCAGGTGACAATCTTCAAAATGTGGTTGTTGATTATCTCTTGTGAGAGCATCGTTCATGGGTGAATATCTTTATCCTCTCCAGCAGAGCCACCGATTTAGAAAGGACCTTCTGCAGGAGGGCATTGCTTTGCAGTTTGAAGCTGGGGAATTGAAAACTGTGATTCATCGTCGCACACGTGGATATTCTCCTGTGCTTTTCTCTTTGCATCAGAGGTGATCTCTGTAGTCTTTTACTGGCATTGGTTGTTTCCATCCCCTGAGGTGTCTTCTTGCCTTGCAGTTCCCATGGTATCATTCTGCCTTTGCGATAACTGTTGTGCCGCAGTCCCAAAACAATGCTGAACTTTCAGCTCTGCCAGTGATGACCATTTCCACCAAAGAACTAAAAGGCCCAGATGATTAAGAAGAGTGTCTGGGGTGCAGTAAGAGGAGTGCGGCCAGCAGGTCAAGGGAGGTTCTCCTCCCCCTCTACTCTGCCCTAGTGAGGCCCCATCTGGAGTCCTGTGTCCAGTGCTGGGCTCCCCAATTCAAGAAAGATGAGGAGCTACTGGAGAGAGTCCAGCGGAGGGCTACGAGGATGAGGAGGGGACTGGAGCATCTCTGCTACGAGGAGAGGCTGAGGGAGCTGGGCTTTGTCCAGCTGGAGGACAGGAGGCTGAGAGGGGACCTTATCAATGCCTCTAAATATCTGCAGGGTGGGGGTCAGGAGGACGGGGCCAGACTCTTTCCAGTGGTGCCCAGCGACAGGACAAGGGGCAACGGGC